TGTCCTCCAGTGTCAGCAGCTCACTGTCCAGAAGCCTTTTCATAAAACCCAATGTCTTTAAACAACCCTGATATTCTACCTTACAGTTGAAGGATGTTTCTCAGATTTTAAGTTTGAGTCTGAAGTTTTGTGAGAAGAAACTTTGAGTGCCTTCGGGTCCTATCAGTCTGTTCCTATCCAGTGTAAAATATAGCAAAAGCTCAGCTATGCTGCAGCCACTTCCTTTGTAGTAAACAACAATATCCACGTCTATTTACTGCAGCATCAGTAAAAAGAATTAGCTGTAGGTGCACTGCAACAAAGTTGCTGCTGGTGTAAGTGCACGGCGATGTTTGATGTTGCTTATCGTTCAGAACGGCCTCTTACGGTGCCCAACACTAGACGCTATAACGATAATGGTGAAGGAAGTGGCCCATTTCCAGCCTCTGGGTTCTCCTAGTGTCCCAGTGAGTTGTAGTTCCTCATTGAAAGACCCAGTTCAACATCTGTGGCCTCTGGTTCTTGCATTAAAATATATATAGCTTTAGATCACTTCAGTGTGTATTTCTGACAATGCTGATGCATTTTACATGACCACACCAATGTGCAATGTAGAGTGTATCAAGGCCGGATTTCATAATGGTAATGGTTGTATGTTACTCTGTATTATGGAACCAGCCGTTGCTAGTATGTTACCTTAACTCTTAACTGTCTTTGGTTTAATAGGTGGCTACTCAGGAGAGGTGAGGGCTTTAAAGGCAAATAAAACTATATCTAACTCCCCTGGGCTTTAAAAAATGCTGTTAAAGCTTTCGGCCTAATACAAGCACACCGTCCAGCCCTCAACCCCTGACCACCATGTACACCAGCTCACCGTGACAGGGCGACAGGAGCACTATGGCAATGATCAATAAAAATAAGGCAGCTAATAGAAGGCCAAGCCTGTAAAATCAGCTCTCTGTCTGATTAACAAACATATCAGGGCTCCACATACACTGCCTGCACTACACACTTTCGCACACCCACACAGACAAACAGTTTGGTAACTTGTTCTCATAGGTAATTACTCATTTTCCCTACATGCAGGTATATAGTCAGTCACACACACATGCAGACACAGGCAGTAAGCCCCTATGGAACAACTGAGAACAGCTCTCTGACAGTCACACCAAAGAATGTTATACTGGAATCAAAGACGGTTACTGTGGAGCAGTGCTCCCGCAGAGACAAAGACTCAAAGAAACAGACACTCTTGAAAACGTCTTAGTTTTAAGACATCACACAGAGGACAATGGCAGGAAAGATCGACGCGAGAGACATGATGCAAGAGGATTTAAAGTAGCGCTGCGTCACCAGTGCACAGCTAGCCACCAGGAGGTCCTGGGTTGTTTGTGAAGTACAGTTTGTAGTCCAGTGAGAATGCTGGTGGAAACTGATTTTACAGTGATACTGTTTCTGAGCCCATGCAGATGACAGATGCCATATTCAGGGAAAACCTGAATAAATAAGACATTAAATTGACAAATTCAGATGTTTCCATGCAGGGAGCCACATAGCTTTTGAATATTTTTAAAGCCCCCCTCCAGACATTTTTAAAAGTATGTTAAACTACTCTACTGTGATAAATATGTTGTTTAACATGATTTTCCCACATAAAAAGTAAAGAAAAGACCTGAAAATGGGCTGGGAAAACAACCACTCTTTCTCCTTCGCTGAGAAATTCTGGATGTGGTCCACTCTGCCCAAAACCACTGCTTGCGCTAGGTTGGCCTGTAAAAGAGCAGAGCACATCAAGATGGCTAGAGTTAGCCAAGAGGAAACAAAGGAAAGAATCAGCCATACATGTTTGAGCCTCAGTCAGACTCAGATTCAGATGAGGAGTCTGCTGTGCGCCAAAATTGCCGATGTACCAGAATGTTAAGTGTAGTTAGCATCTTTTATTGTTTAAGTTAATTGTTAGCTTGTAGGCTAACTGGCAGTGGCGTTAGTGTTTGTGAAACGTACAATAATATCTGCCATGATGGTTTTTTTGGTAGATAGTGGAAGGAAGCACAAGGGTCCAGTTTACATCCAAAAATTGCTCACTCTACCAAAGATTTCAGGTTTCTTTGCCGGTGCCATGTCGAAGTCTGTTCCCCCCGGTTATATGTTTCCTGAATAAGGCAGCAATTGGCTTTCATATTAGTGGCGTACCTAAGCTAGCTCAGATGTTAGTGTTTTAAGTGCACAGACATTGCCCCCTTCAGTATAGGATAGTAAAAGCACCTCTCTAGTGACAAACTTTGCACAAGACAGTATAGTCAAGGTCAGACATTTTAGAGGACATGAAAATAAAAAAAAAAAAAATCTTTGATATGCCAATATTGATATCTCCACTTTTTTTTACCCACCTAATTTTAGATGATCATCAAGTCTCCTCTGTAGTGGAATTAACATTATATTATGCGTGCATACTTTTATTGTGATGGTCCACCAGCAGATGGAGACATGAAATACAATGCCTTTTAATTTATATAAAATTCAAAAAAGTGCAAAAGTGCAAAATAAGAAAAAACATGTTGGTTAATTGGCGGATACTGATGACATGCCGATATTATCGTGCATCCCTGAGTTCAATTACATGTGACACACATGGTCTTACCGTAGTCTCGCCACCAGACAATCAGAGATCTCCGCCTTCTGATAGTCTGGGGACACTCCTTTCTAAAGTGTATTTAACACACCGGCGAAAACGGCCGGCAACAAAGCAACGCCTCTTGCATTTTTGAAAAGGACACGCCTTCTCGGAAATGTGCGCTCCCCCTTTTTTCGTCCGCAAGGAAACAAACACACAGAGAGCTTGAAAATGGATGCCGAGAGATTAAACTCTGTGTGCTCATCCGTGAAGAAAATATTTTTTCCAGCGGATGTCTTTTAACAGATGACGTCCTGATGTTAGCTTTGCTGCTAGTATTAGCTGTCCCTGTCAACTGATGCTTTCTAGACATCGTGATTTCCCAAAACTGAATAAATACCACACATAGCAACACAAAACTGCTTTGCTAGCTCAATCATGTTGTAACTAAGATATCTGCTGGAAAGATATTTTTTTTTACCGACCGTTTAATGAGTTATTACCTATTACAGACACCGCTAACGGCTAACAGGGCTAACAGCTAACGGAGAGCCCAGCTAAACGTGCACACAGAAATAGTAATGTTTGTTCAATCATTGTGTTTATAGACTTTACAAACATCGGATTAGTCTAAACGGTGATACAGTGATGTGAAAAATGTGATACATAGGCTATATATATAGCTAAAAGCTCTGCTGGTTTTCTACCCGGACTATAGAGGCAATCGCCTTGTTGTTTACAAGGTGATTGCCTCTATAGTCCGGCCAGACGGATGAGTCATGGCCTTGTAAAAGATTATGTTTGTTTCTTTTAGTTGGCGAGAATGTGTCGCGGCAAACGCGACAAACATCCACTAACTTTGACCGAGTTTTCTGCGAGCACGGCTGAGCCATTTTGTACTGCTACACATGTTTCTACTCGGACTATGTTCACAAGCACAAGAGTTCAGCGAGCCACCGAAGGACCGCCCTGCAGATTTACTACTGGTTCTGCAACGTAGGGAGTTTTTTTAAACTCTGAAATTGTATCCGCCCATCTAAACACAAAATCAGGGAGAAAGTCATCAGTCTTTAGTTAAGCAAAGCGTCTAAAGACTGACTTGTGAGTCTAGTCTTACTGTTGCCTCCACAATAAAATGCCCTAATTTTTAAGCAAATGTAGGTAGTTATGAGTATAAGCAGTAGCAAAGCTAATCAAAATTAGCTCACTGCAGCAAAAGGAACTAAACAGAACAGAAAATATTATTCTATTAATCGGGACATCCGTAGCTCTCACAGTCACAAGATCTCAACCCAGTCTAACTCCTATGGGAGATTTTGGACCAACATGCTAGACAGTGCTCTCCACCACATCATTAAAACACCAAATGAGAGATGTTTTGTAAAAAATTGAGCCCATCCCTCCAGTAGAGTTCAGAGTCTTGTTGAATCTTTGCCACTATCTCACTACTATTCACTTTGTGTCTGGTTTTCCTTTAATTTGTCACATGGCTGGCACCAGTGCGCCCCTCTCACCTGTCATACCCTGATGCTTTATGTACACCATTCAAGTGGGAACAGGCACACAAACATGTCTGACTTGACCCTCTCTCTTTACAGGAGTTCATCCATGATGTCCTGGCTTGATTCATGCTAGAGTGCCACATTCCTGAGCAACACTGTTCATGCAAAGACACATTCCTCCTGCTTTTTTTAGTGCAGTCCGTGTGTGTGTGTTGCAGTGGTTTTACTTTTACTGCTGCACATTACATCCACTGACTCATAAAGGGGTCATTACAATAAAAAAATAAGTCACACTCATGTTATGACAGGCTGTTTTGAAGAGGAGCTTCTCTCTTACTCTTGTATATACTGTGGTGCCAGTGTACCATTTTATGATAATTGTGTTCTCCAAATGCAAAGTTGTCAGTGCCCTTGTGTGTGCTCATGCTTTCTGCGATAGTTACAGGTTTGTTTATACGTGTCTTGCTCTTAATTTGGAAGAGCGGCAGAAATCTCTAGTGGTCCCAGACCGGTGCCTTGAGTCTCACCTCTGGCATCGACAACTGGTGTAATTAGCAAAGTTTTCTTTTGTGCTGCTCTCTTCATTTATGTTTTGGCTCGTCTCCCACAGTATTTGTAGTCTGTCACTGTTAATGAGCGTGTGTGTGAGCGCACAAAGCTGCGAGGAGACATCACACACCCACTGCTCTCTTCGCAGTTTTAACACTCCATTAGATAATTAAGGCGGAGGGGGTGTTTTTGTAACATTTCTGATGAGACATTACCATTAATTAGTGTCAAAAGAAAAGAACTGTTTTGCTCAAGCACTTAAGTACAAAGGGAAACGATCTCTTTACCTTGTCATTGAAGCACTTAATGATCTCTCTCTCTCTCTCTCTCTCTCTCTTTTTTTTTTTAAATCCCAGGTGGAGGCTGTTGACTGCAAAGAGGAGGCCCATCCAAGGAGAAGAGCTTTGTCTTGGCATCATGTGATCTGCGCATTCCCCAGGAGCGCTCTGCAGGGGAATAGTAAATCTACACTTCTCTGGAAGCATTACAACCACTAGCACCCTTATCGCCACTATCACCACTCCTGACTGCAGTCATCAAAGTCACCTGTTCTTGACTCAACTTGCCTTCTGTCTCTTTCGCCTCTCTTCATCTTGAAGATAAGGAATGGTCGTGCTAGTTTCCAGTCTCCCCAACGCCTCTTGCAAATAAGGCCTTTCAGCTTCTTTCACAATACCAGAGAAAGGAAGGATAAAACGCTCTACAGTCCTCTTTTATACTTCTACCCCGTGTCTGTTTTTTATCTTTGTTTCCTTAGTAACTCAACCCTCAACACACACATTCACTAATCCAGCAGGATTTATTTGTCTTGGTGGCCATTTTATGGACACCAGCATTCAAGTTTCCAAACCATAAGGAGATTTTTTTTGACAAACTTCACCCGGCAGTCTTTTGGAATATCTACTCATGCAGTGTCCCTATGGGGGATTAAACCAGTCCAGGAATTTACACTGACTCCTCGTTGGTTTTGTTAGTTTGCATTAAGGTGGTTTTTCAGTGAGGTCTGTTTGTGACTGGAGGTGGACTGAGCCATCATGGCTGGGAAGGGGAACCCACTGCCGGGCCCCCACCTCAACGGCTTCCCCATGCCCACCTACTCCTACTTCTTCCCCCACATGTTGGGGAGCCTGTCGCCTCCAGCCCTGGCAGGACTGCCCATCAGTGGGTACAGCACCCCCTCACCAGCCAGTAAGTAAACTGTACCCTTTTTTGCTTGCTCTGAACTGGTTCACCTTTCAGATGTGGGACTGTGCCATGCTCTGGGTATTGCGCAGGATGATTGTTCAGTGACAGGAGGTGGGAACAGAAAGATTCACTTTCCTTTGTGTGTGTGTGTCCTGGATTTACCTGTGCAGCTGAGGTGCATAATTTCCTGTATAGCTCCCCCACTGTGTGTGTGTGTGTGTGTGTGTGTGTGTGTGTGTGTGTGTGTGTGTGCATGCATACATATGCTTGTGTCTTTGAGTCTGCTGGTAAAAGGACACTTTCATCCTGTTTAGATCATTTGTATTTGAAAGATGTGTGTGTTGGTAAACAGAGAGCGGCAGCCACACACACACCCACATCGCCTCCAGCGCTGTCCTTAATTTCCGAGGCCACACACATCAGCACACGCGCACACACACACACACACACACACACACACAGACACACACACACACATGGAAATGTCAGTGTAGATCACAAGGAAGTGAGGCAGGACAGCTAGAATGGAGCATTGTTTATTTGGGGAACACAAATTTGGCAAGCATTCTTAAAATAAATCTCACAAAAAGTATCATCGCAGCCAACATTCATGCTGCAACACCTTTATACAATCCATCAGGAGCATCACAACTGATTTGGAAAGTTACTTATTTAAGTCGAACTATGTGAAAAGTACTTTTTCATAAGGAAAGAATAGCTGTTCTGCAGCGTATTTACTTATATACAAAAGGACCTGTTTAACCCTGAGCTGTGGTGGAACAATTGTTCAGATAACAATACCACCATAAAAAACATTGCATTGTAGTTCTTGTATTGAAAATTTTACTGATGCACAAGTGTATAAGTATTATCAGCAAAATATGTGCATGTATTAAAAGGCCTTGTTGCGTACCGTGGCTGCTTTCAGAATTGTATATGACTGATTAGGGGTGTCAGTGGTTAACTGTTAATCTTAACCACCAGGAATTATTTCAACTGGTAATGCAGGTTAACTTTGCTACTCTTAAGTTATTGCACTTTGCACCACCCAGGCCTGGCGGGAGCTGGTTGGCAGAGCTGCTCATTTAGCAATCACTGCTAATAACCATCTTGACCCAACAGCATTGCTGTGGAAAAATTTTGCCCACCCTCCGGTCGCCCCAGTAAGCAAGAGGCTCAGTTTTGAACTGCAAACCCCCTTTAGCATTTTGTAACTATGTTGTCATTGGTAGCTCTGAAAGCACTGTCTGCAGAGTCAGCATGGCTAGTGGTGCTAACTTAGTCAATGATCTTAAAGGGGTTTTGCGGCTCAAACTGAAGCCAATTACTCACCCGGGTGACCTGGGGGGAAACCGGAGGGTGGGCACTATGTTTCTGCAGGTGGGAGCGATACCAGTGGTAATCAACAAATGAGTGGCGCTGCTAGCTAGCTCCCACCCAGCGTGGGTGGTGCACAGTGTGGAGTGGCCAAGGCTAGCATGAGCTAACTATTGGAGACTGGAGTGTGGGAAGTGGGCACTATGTTTTCTGCACAATTATGCAACTAGCTGGCTGGCTGTCACCAAACAGAAAATAAAATAAAAGGCAAGATGTTTACATAAGAAAACATTAAAATTTCACCACCTCTTAATGGATAGCACGTTGGAATGGGGCACAAAAGCTAAAAAAAAAGGCCTCTTGCGTATTTGTTTTGATTTAGCTTTTTTTTTTTCCCTTAAAAATGAACTGGTTAGTTACCAGTTAATGGAGTTCAGGCTAACAAAATCAAAATGAATCGAAACTGACATCCCTATTACCGATGCTTCAGCCTCTAAGCATTATTTAAATGTTGTAACAGGCGGGAGATTATTTCCCTCATGCTGTTGCATAGTTTAATCTATAACAATACATCATGTTTTGCAGTATGATTATACGTATTGCTTTAGAAGAAAGCTTCCATGTGAGATGACTGTTGAAAAATATGCTTAATTGATGAGAACATTTCAATACAACTCAAGTGAATTTTGGCATCTTGAAAGACAGACTGTGGCAGCTTGAAAAGCACTAAAATAATGACAAATGATACCTCATATTGGCAGCTTTCACCAAGTCACACACTGAATTTCAATGTGACACTAAAATTCTTCATTGTTCATTAGTATTGGAAATGGGTTGAAATTTTCTCAACACACTACCAGATTTTTCATTTATTTTAAGAAAAAAGGAGTTCAGTATGTAAAAATCTTCATCTGCAACAAAGTAAGATATTGCCCTCTAAAATGTAGAGGAGTGGAAGTATAAAGTAGAATAATATATGTAAATGTACCACCATCACTGCCTACTAATTAGAACCCTAAAGGTGCTTTGAAATCCAGTGAAACATTATACTCGTACAATCCCTGCATCTCACAGCAGACTGGGCAACATCGATGAACGGCGAGATAATCAATTAAACTGCTGTGGCAGCTGCAGAAATATGAACTAAAGGAATACAGTTGGTGGTGCAGACATACAGTCGCTGTGTGTGTATTGGTGTGGACAGGCCTGCCACAACGCGGCCTCGCTCTCACAAGTTCAGGGGGGGTCAGCGTATTGACTTTCTATCTGCTGGAGTTTGCGTTGGCAGTCAGCACGGAGGGAAGTGAAGAACAGTTAGTGCCCAGCCCAGTCACTCCCACTTCCCTAATACCAGATACCCCACCTCACTCACAAACGCTGGAGCTCCCGTCAGATTCCTCTTTTTACTCTGTTGCAAGTGTGTGTGTGTGCGTGTGAGTGTCAGAATATCTGTGTGTGTGTGTGTGTGTGTGTGTGTGTGTGTGTGTCAGGCCACTCTCCCAGTGTTTGCCATGCGGGGCTGCAAGGTTCCTTCCCTTTTGCCTGGACAAACATTTCCTGTCTGTAAACACTGGAGAGCCAGGGACACCACAGCTTCCTGACGAGCACGAACACACACACACGCTCACACAAACACACACACACACACACACACAGAAACATAAACACAATCTTTGCCCTTCATGCTGGCTCACTTTCTCTCACTCCTGCTCCTCCTTGCATGCAGATAACTGCAGGCATAATTCACACATGCTCTCTCTCTCTCTCTCTCTCTCTCTCTCTCTCACACACACACACACACACATGCAGCAACAAAAACACATGCGTCTCCTTCCATACACACTGTAACACAAACCACACCACCTTCACTTCTTTCTCCTCCTCCTCGTCCTATCCCCCTCTCTGGCAGATCATTTCTCTCTCCCTCCCTCCTGCTCAAACACTCCTTTTTTTTTTTCTTTTCTCAAATTTTCACACACACACACACACGCACACACACACACACACACACGCACACACACACACACACACACACACACAAACACACCACTAAGCCCTCACCAGCCCCGTTCGGTGCCGAGCAGTGACGATAGAGAGAAAGGAAGAGAGTGGGTGCTGTGGGAGAGGGGGGAGAGAGAGTCAGTTTGTTTGGAGCTTGAATGAGAGGAATTTACAGAATGTCAGATCGGAGGCAACAGAGCTGAGCATTGGATTTCATCATGGCAGCCAGTGAAAGCTAAATGCACATGATTGTTTGGGTGTGTATGCATGTGCAATTGTCCCTGTGTTTGTGTCCTTGTGGATATTGTTGTTGTCTGAAAGTACAGTTTTGACCTACACTTTGTAAAGATGTTCAGATCTTCAATGTGCCTTTGTTACACTTTTATTAATGTTCTTCTGTATGAGCCCAGTCCAAACTGGATTACTTTTAGAGTGCTTTAAAATCATCTTGCTGAGCTTATTTGTTCAGGTCTTACATTTCCATGTACTGTAACACACAGCAGTGTCCTGGCTGTGCAAGTCCTATGCCATTGTCATGTGGCAGGTGCACTGCACACACTTTTTAAAATTTGTTTAAAGGATTGCGTGCCTCGTATGAATTTTACAACATGTCCTTGCAGCAAGCAAGCGGCGCTCTCTGTCCACTCTGAATCCATTTAATATCGGGGTTGGGTACCATTAACTTTGGAACTAATACTAGTACCAGGTCCAGTACCTGAAATTCGGTACTGGTACCCAACAGTACCTTTTTCAGTACGATACTTTCTCTGTAATAACTAAAATGTAATTTGTGAACAAGCTGCAGGGGTGGTGTAGTAGACTAAATCACAATTCTGCTCCTCCTTGTCTAGCAGTGTTACCAGGCTATTATTAAAACAATATAGAGAAGAGAATAGACCAGATGCCAGAACTGTCACACAGATTGGTGCTACAGCGATGGTTTTGGTTTCCTGAGAAGCTTATGAAGCATGGCTGTCTTCCAGGCTTCCTAGAACTCTGTGGCACTTCCACTTCCTTTCTAAACCTGGCCTTCTCACTCAGGCATTTGGCACCAATGGGTTTATCATGAGTCGATGCTTAGTTGTACTGACCTAATTCGGTCGATACCTTTAAATGTACCAAGTTCATTGCCTAACCCCTACTAAAAAAACTACATAGGATACCTATCAGCTGAGTGCTTTACTCAAGACATAACCAGTTGAGATATGGGCAAGTACTTGCTGTCCCTCTACGTCTGTCCTTTTTAAACAGAAAACACAAGTTATATTGTGGTATTTACTGGAAATTACGTAGCCTACAATACAGCCAGCAGATTATGTTGTTATTGGCGATGGTCATTTACCAGAAACTCAGCTCCCTGGAGATCTCCCTCCAGCCAGCTGCCACCTGATTGTGTTTTTTGTGGTGAAATAAGAAGAGTTTTACAACACTTCATTTTAACTTCATGAATCAGCCGTTCCTCCTCCATTGTGGAGTTTTTAAAGGAGGAGACAGGAGTGAATAGAAACAGGGTGTCCAGCAAAAGTTCAGCTTGGCAGCGCTGTGTCGCTCGCAGCCAACTCTGACACTCCAGCAGAGATGTAATCAAACTGATCACTCACATCTCATCCAGTTAGGACACGGTGTTAGAGCAATAAAACAAAAACAAATAAAGTAATCTATTTATAAAGACAGTAACTGTATTC